GAGCGCGGCAGCAAGGTGGGCTTCGAGGTTCGCCGCAGCTCGGCTGGCGATGAGGTGACGACCATCGTGTACGATGACGCGGAGAAGAAGGTGATTATTGACCGTTTGAAGAGCTCCAACACCGAGTGTGCCGTGTTCAAGGACAACGGCGTCAAACCGATTTCGGACTCTGTGTGGGGATACTTCTACCTGTATGACCTGTTCACGGGTGCTTCTCAGAACGATGTGTGCGAGGCCACCCGCGAGAAACTGAGCTTCCACGTGTTTGTGGATGTGTCTAGTGTGGAAGTGTTTGTGAACGGCCGCTTCTCGCTGTCGGCCCGCATGTACCCGTGCGCCACCCGGACGAATTCGGACGGCATTGCTCTGACGGCTTCCGGTAACGCTACGTTCGAGAATGTGCAGGTGTGGACGGAACCTAAGCACGCTTGGGCTGAGACGCGCACGGTTCCCACCTTTTAATCAGATTGGTGATACCCAGGGTTGATTCACTTTCCGTGCAGGTTTTTTTTAAAGATGATGAATAGTATTCTATGGAGACGATCGTGCTAAGTTGTCCTCTTCCAAAGCTGGACGTTCTCTTTAGACGGGTAGCCAATGTGTGAGGATGTCGGTATCTACTGTCATTTGTGAAGGTATAGCTTCTCGTTTCGAAAGTTCATCGCCTTTTGAATACGTGCAGATCCAGCACCAAGAAATGATGCTTTACGCTACTACTAGTAGTAGTATGTTCGTAAGTTCAAAAGTATTACTACGTCGTATCTGGTTGGTACTACCCAAATGCAACCAAAAGTTATTAACTTAAATTGCACTTTTAACTATTCGTAGTATTTCCGATATCAACCAGTACTACTACTACGGTATGTCAACCGATATGACAACTTTTAGCTGGCTAAATAGGTCACTTACTACAGTCAGAATCTAAAGTGCATGTAAAGCTAACCCTTACTCAATGAGTCTTTAGAGTTTTGTTCACTCGGTACGTGTCCCGAACATCGAAAAACAAAATCAGCTGCTCCTT